ACAACAGTCGTACGCAACCTACGACTTGTAGTAGGACTTTGAACCACTGCTTAAAATCCTACGACTTGTAGTAGGAAAATCGTATACTACTAGTCGCGCGCGATTAATCGTACCGTGTAAATCAGCCTTAAGTAGTATTAATTTGTACTATAAAAACTGAACCTGAAGAAGAACGATATTGAATGCTTCATTTGTATCAATTCAGTTTAATTTACGTACCGCATGCACGATTTACTAAATCTAACTATTTAGTTTGTACAGTTGCACGGTTTAAGTGCGATCAATCTAAGAGTATCCACTCTATAATATAATAACTATATGTATTAATTTTCAATTCAGTTGTGCGGCTAATCACATATAACTTCATTATGGATCGCAGCACAAGACTGGCTTTGGATATTTGGATGTCTAATTCGCATGTCTATTCTTATTTTGTTCAGATTTTGGCTTAAGTAACACCATCAATGTTCCGAGATCTGGAGAACGTTCCTCGTCAAGGGATCATTGTAAAACACAATGTGGCTCTCCAGCTTACGCAGCCCCTGAGATCCTTGGACATCTGACATATGGGACCAAGGTGGACGTATGGAGCATGTAAGCCCTATTATATAGAAATACATTAAAGAGAAAGGGAGAATTAAAAGTGACATGAATGAATGAAAGTGAGATGAATGAATGAATAAACCTTTATTTATCTCTGGGTGGTCAGTTGCATGCGCATCTGTTATCAATGGGAGTCCTGAGCACAATAAATCTATAAATAAAAATCTATTATACAATATTACAATCTGTCATATAATATATTATTAGGTTATATAAAATCATACATAAATATATATAAAGGACGATCTATATAATTGATTTCACATGTACAAATACTATATATGTAGCGGAGTATCGTCAAACGCAATCAAGCTAGGCTCGGGACGTGTATTTACTGACTATTTTAATGAATATCGTAGACGTAAAACTACAATACAAATACAGAGAAAACGCTAGTTACGATACAAGCTATATTATAGAAACGATTACAAGCAAATACAACGAAAACGAAACTTACCGACTGTCCCACACAAAGGCGATACTCCAAGTACAAAATTTGTAGCGCAATTCGCAGTTCCACAAAGATTGATATACAACACGAAGACGAGAGAAAACTAATACTAAGCGAATTTACATGAACGCAATTCTCGTGGGACAGTACAAAAAAACTGATAATACAAAGAACTAGAATACACGCGGGAAAACTAAAATGACAACGGAACTAAAGCTAAAGCGGAAACGAAACTAAACGGAAACGGAAATACTATTATAAACAAAACGTTTGCAATAACTTTACAATATATATTACATCA